TACACACCAGCAGATGTAAAAATATTGGTTACAATTTTTCTTTTCTTTCATATTTTTTTTTTGAGACTCAAGCTGTGTTAAAAAATTCTTAGACACACTTAAGAATGATAATACCTTACTTAGCAAGGGTTTAGCACTCAAGAAATTGATTCCCAATCTTACTCATTCAATAAGTATTTATTGAATACCCATTCTGTGCCAGCTTTTCTTCTAGACACTGAGGGTAGAGTAATGTATAAAACAATATGGGCTACCACCTCTCCTCACCCTATTCTAAAGAAACAATTATGATGAAATTAGAAAATCTACCAATAAGGTCAGAAAAATTTAATTTCAGCATACATTGTGGAGACAACTCATGAAAGATATTTAAGTATATCTGCATATGTCATCTTAGAAGTAGTTACCTTAAATTAGTAAAAAATATCTTATAATTTTGGGAGTGGAAGAACGTGGTAAAAGACTACTGAAATGCATAAGGGTGTTACATGGGTGACCAATGGACTAGGAATGTGGGAGTCTCCTTAGCACAGTGTCTCACTCATGGCAGGCAATTAATAAAGAGTTGGGGAAAGATTTAATGAGTGATTCCAGCAAAGCAAACAACTGGAAAACAAGGGTTGATTGGCATTCCAGCCTCATTATCCAAGGTAGAGAATGCACTAAACTCAGATTTCTTTTTTCTCTTTGTTTGAAGGGTTTAAATTTTTCTACTATATAAAAAATTGCATAAGTGACACATATCATTGTAAAAATATTAGAAAGTAAAAATAAAGAAAAAGAAGGGAAAAGGTTTAATATCTCTCAAATCCTATCAGAATAAAAATGTAAAATAAAAACATGCATTTATATAAAACTGCACTTGTGCTATACTACTGAATTTCCCACTAAATATGTCTAAAGTGTTCTTTTATGTCAGTAAATGTATATCTAGACCATAATTTGAATTGCTACAAAGTATTACACTGCACAAATATGCTATAATTATAGTTATACAGGTTGATGTATAGGTGGATTCCAGTGTTTTTTTAAAATGCTGTGAGAACACATCCTCCTCTTAACATACATAAAAATGTATTCAGTAATTTCCCTGAAATAAAACCTATCTAGAAATGAGATTATTAGTATAAAGTCAAATATACGTATGAAGGGCTTTTCCAAACAGAAAATTGTACAATTTATAGTCCCATTTCTCTACTTTAGCCACATTCAGTATTATTATTCATCTATTCTTTACCACTTCAATAAGTGAAAAACTGGTAACTTGTTTTGATTTGCATTTCTTTGATTACTAGTAAGGTTCAATATTTAATATATAATTATTTATTTGATTTTCTTCTTTTGTATACTTCCTGTTAATTTTACAAGAATTTGCCAAGATCTTGTACAACGTGTTGGAAGATATTTCTGAAAAAAAGTGTTCTATGATCAAACAGGCATGGAAAACACTGAGTTAAACAAAATTAACAGTATTATTAAAGTTAGGCTGCCATAATTTGCAAAAATGCCCCTTAAGAATATTAGCTTTCTCTTGTTCTATGCTTACCAAAAACCTGATTTACATTTTAATATACTGAGTAGACACATGTGAGTAGTCTTGGCTCTCAGATGAGGTATTTTTCTTGGTGCAAGATGTGAATTTTACTCAGGTGAACGAGGCTTCAAGGCTTGCCTCCTCTCCTTTGCCTGCTATGCCTCTGTGATTCTCCCTGCCCACAATGAATAAACTGAGAAAATGTTTCAGAACCTGCATACCTGAAGACTAGATCCTCAGCCATGAGCCTTACCCAATGTCTGGCCACCCACTGAGGCCCAGCCTTTGAGAGCCAGACAGATAGTTTTATTGCATCTGTGGAACTGGTCTGGGCATGATGCTCAAAAATTCCTAATCATAAGGCATGTCTCAGTGTGTTTGCACAGCATGTGCACACTCTAACACTTAGGAGTTGAGCTCATTGACACATGCTTTTATCATGCTTGATTTGTATTAAAACATTTTAGTGTTTGGTCTTAACAGTCTGTTTGGTCCTGGAGAGAACTGAAGAAAAAAAAATGTGGATATTTCTGGGATTTTTCTTCAAGTTTGCAAAAAGGGTAAAAAAAAAAGAAAACACAGGTGGAATGGGTCAACTATACACATGAAGGAGGAAGCAAACTTTTTATTCAATAGAAAATGTGATCAATTGAGTTTTTAAATATTATTACTGATCTCAACAGGGTTAAATTTTAATCTGCTAAAATTGAATAGGCACTCTCTTCCATTTTGGTGGAACCAAGAAAAAAAGTACTCCTACTGTAATCTGGTTGTGATTATCAAGTTGTCTTATCTGCTAGGAGACAGCTGTCTATGAAATTTAAATTAACGTTAACATTGTTAGCTAAGTTAACATTGTAACATCACTAAGTTAAATAAAACACATTAATAATGTTAGATAAGACACATCTTCCAATACAATTCTACTTTCAGAGAATTTAAATTAACATTGTAACATTGTTAATTTAAATAAAACACATTAGTAATGTTAGATAAGACACATCTTCCAATACAATTCTATTTTCTCAGTTGTGTCTTTTTTGGCTCCAACAAGGATAACACTTGCAAACTGTGGCCTGGACTGCTAAAGAAAAAGCTCTCCTATCACTGGATATTTCAGAAAGGGAAGGAAAACATCATCAGACCTCGGGGGCAGA